GGACAAGGGGCAGCCGGAGCATCAAAAAAAACTGCTGGACAAGTGGCCTAGAAGGCATTCTTCACAGGTGCTTTAAAATAGACACGACTAGCATTGTCAGTCTTCTCAGAAACCGCTCCCTGTGTTTCGGGACACTGTGGTGGTCATCACTGATACCTCTAGAGAGAGGGCGTGAGCTACGGCTGCAGCTAAGAGTGCAGTAGCCCTTAGCACGTAAAATGGGGATTTGGGGTTTTGTGGTCCTGCAGCTGTTAGTAAATGCAAACTGTTAAACAGCTGGTGTATCGGGGACAAAAGTACGAAACTGTTCTCCATCTTCAACTCTTCCATATTTTCCTACGTGTTGGTTTTGTTACTCGTATCCCAAGGACATAATTTTGTCTTCTTCAAGCTGTGACAAGCCTGAGGTAAGCTGATGAGTGACAAATGCTTCTCTCTCGTATTGGCTAACCCTGAAAGTGTGGACGGCAACTTTTCAGAGTCTTCTGTACATAACAGCTTGAGTCATAGTGCGGTGGGCAGCTGTGGGTGCTGCTGGTGCTGCGTGTCGACTGGCGAGGGAGATTTCGGCATTAGGAAATAGAGCCTAGAGTCTTCAATTCTCTGGCAAGTCTCTGTTTCTGCAGGACGCTTGGGACTCTTGTTTGAACTAATCCTTCAGTGATTAACATCTGAGTCAGTGGTGCCCATCTTTTCTTTGGCAATAACTTCTGCAATGGTTTATGCCACATCTTTCGGGTGATGTTTCTCACTGCAGCCAAACCCATCCGATGCCAGCCAGCCCAGCAAGGAGCCGGCCCGTTTCTCGGGGTCTGCCCTTGTGCTGGATGCCTGTATGACCCGAACCAAGACAGTTCAACCAGCAGAACACTTCTGTTGATGAGTTTTCTGTTCCATTAATGAGTTGAAATGATTAACCACAAGTTCAGATCACAATAATTCCAGTGGGAAGGGATCTCTGGAGCTTGCATGGCCTGAAGCGAGGCCAGCTTTAGAGCTGTGTTCGGTTACTCAGAGCTCGTCTGAGCACCAAAGCTGCGGGGCGGAGAGATGCTCAGTGACAGCAAACTGCTGATTTTTTAAGTAAGAGGCACCCACTGGATTTTCTGAAAATTTGGCTCCTCTTAGTGGCTCACTGTGGGGCGAAGATGGTGGTACAAGGAGGAAGAAGGCAGGGATGTCCTGGCAGGTGCTCACTGCTGGGCTGGCACCATCGCCAGCTGGCTAACACACAGTAAATTGAAGCCTTTGGCAGTTAGTATTATAATGATATTAAAATGAGGATAGGTCACTTTCAGAGGGTGCTAATCACTAACTTAGCTGACTGCTCCAAACATACTGATTATTTTCCAGGGTGTTCCTGTCTTCAAGGGTAAATCTAACAAACCTTAAGTGATTAAAAAGTTTTTCTCAGCAGTTCCAAGGGCAGTCTTCCTAATCTACACAGAGAGCACATATTTGTTACGTTAGCTTCTGATTGAACTTGCAACAGTGGGATGACTCTGCTCTGGAGTGGTCGGTGTCTCCTCGTCACTCTGATTGCGTGCAGCTCAGGATGTCTGGTAGGGACAAGAGAAATTAATTAGCACGGGCTGGTGTTTTCTCAGATTCTGATTAAAATCAAATGAAAAGCCAGAGAGTCTGCTGAATGGCGCTGGATCATGGGATGATAAGACTCCAGGTCAGAAAAATGCCTGTGCATTCTGTCAGTCTCGTTGAAGCAGCCACAGTGAAAAAATATTCGTGCAGATTCAGCAGTGGATTCACCGTTGTATTCATCAATACTATTAGGCACAAAGCAATAATCTAGGTCATTTTCTGGGTTTTTATGCCCTGGGCTGGCTGCACAATCAGCTGTAATTTAGCCTTTTTCATTAACAGTCATCTGAGCTGTAGCAGCTCCTCCGTCCCCGCGGGAGCCGTGGCTGTGGCAGGGACGTGCTGCCAGCGGCGGCAGGTGCAATGGAAACTCCTCTTGTGGCTGAATGGAATGAGGTTTCCTGTCCTGTGGTCTGCCCGCACCGACTTATGGGCTTTTATTGCCCTAAAACCAAAACTGATTCTTTAAGTCTGGCAGATTCACGTTACCTGTAATATCTTTTACAGCTGAAGTGGACAATAGATCTTTCTAGCATTTATTGTAGCAAAAGATGAGATCATTTTTTATTACAAAGCTATGCAGTGAAAGCTTGCACACCAGGAGTTCGCCTGACATCGGTCTCGTCCCCCTGGCGCTGGGGTTTCTCTGCGACCTGGTTCCAGCCTGGGAGCCAGGGGTGCAGTGCAGCAGCTCTGACCAACCCAAATGCACCATTTCTGGGGGTTTTGCACTAAAACTGAGATCGTGTGTTTGCTTCGCATCTTGTCAATAGCATCCTCCAGTTCTCTTCCAGGTTAGAGAAACCTCACTGTGGCACAGCTTGGTTGAGACACTGAGCACTGGTGCAGATTGCAAAGGAGATGCCCCCTGCACTGGTTTACACATCCCTTTGATGTTGAAGAGTTTCTTTGAAGTACAGAGTGTTTTACCCGTGTTTATCCTTGTTCTGTCAACTTGTGGGATTCTAGTAAATCCTTTAATAGAAGTATTTCTCAGCTGAGCTCAGCCGTGCACACGTAAGGCTGGAGGCACTGTCCTGTCTGTGCCGTATTTCTCTCCTAGCACAGCTCGGTGCCAGATGTCACTGTCCTGGAAAATGATCAACTGTAGGGAGCTTTTGTGCTATTGTATTCCTTTTCTTGCCAACAAAGTAGTCTTGCTGTTAATATTAACATCTCAAACAAGGAGCAGTAAAACCCTATTTTTACCCCAATTCTCTGTATCTGCCTGACACAAAGTTACTTGGGAACAGTGTCCCTACTTAGGGACAGGTCCCTAAATGATGGTGTACTACTCCCTGGCATCTGATACAGAACGCTAAAGCACAAAAGCAAGGAAATAAAATTAAAACTAAAAAAAAAAAACAAACCCCAAACAAACCAGAAATCCTGGTTTGCCCATGCAACAAGCAGAAGGGGCCATTTCCTGGATGCACCGTGCATGCATTATCTGTGAGGTTGGGGGGGGTATAAACCACCCAAAGAAAACTGCAAGGACATTCTGCACTTCACTTTTTGTGCAGGTTACTCGTAGAAACACCCAGGAGCTCAGTGCAATAGGGCAGGGACGGCAGAGTTCATCTCCCAGCAGCGAGTGGAAGCATTTGGGAGATTTGCCAGCGGCAGCAGTGTCCGACAGCAGGAGGAGTGCCGCCTGGTGTCCTGGCCCTTCTCTGCACTAGCTGCTGACCTCTGCGTCCTAAACGTGCCCCAGCAGCGTGGCCTTGCTGTGACACTGCGCTGGCAGCTGGGGGTCAGCCCCGTCTGCCCTCCTGCCCCTGCGCCTTTGGCACCGCCAACGAGACAGAAATGCTGGAGGCTGGGAGTACCGACAGCTGCTCGGACCTGGAGGAGCGCCTGGCCGGTCATCCGCCCACGTGAAGTCGTCCAGTCCTGCTGTGAGATAACACCGGTCCTGCTTTCCAGCTGCCTGGATGGACCGTTCGCTCAGGGTTTCTTTGGACCTGGCAGCCAGGTTCATGCCCAGTCACCCCGTGGAGAGCACAGGGTACCCCACAGTCAAAGCTGGGGAGTGGGGTCAGAGCAGAAGAGCAAAGCGGGATCCTCCACCTCCAGCGGCTCGTTCACATAAGGCCAAAATACGCTGCTGCTGGTGGGACCTTACACCGAACTCCCCATGAGCCATGCCGTTCGCTCGCTCGGTGCTTGGGCTAGCAGTGAAGCAGTAAACGGAGCCATCGGCTCCCTGCCCCGTGCCCCCAGCATCTCCTGGGTCTCCTGGCTTGCTGCTGGCACCTCGCAGCCCGCTGACCTCCTCCAGAGCCCTGCAAAGCTGGACCTGGCTCCGTTTGCTGCTTCCGAGCTGTCGGCAGGAAAGGGTGTCTTTGTGCCAGGGGAATGATTGCATGCTCAGAGTAACTGCTCGTAAAATCCTCACGAGAAAAATTTTAAAAATGTCTTTATATCCCCACAGTTATGCCCCTGGTAGGGCTGCGTGCCATCCTGGTATCAATCTTTTATTGCACTCTGTTTCCTTGGCTGAGATTTTCTCCTTAACTCTAAAGCTCTTCACTTCAAAAGTGTTATTTTTTTCCTCGAATTCAGAGCCCCCATGTTGAGTACACAGCAGGATTTCCAGGTCTGAGAAACAAGACATCCTAAAGGTCACTGTGCATTTTTGAAAATCTGGGACAGTTTTATTTTGTTTCTTTTTAGCAGAAGTTTAAAGGCAACGCTGGTCTGCTGAGCTGGGCCAGTTCATCTCTAGCCTTTAGCAGGACTTGGGAAAGATGAATGACCAAATTCAGGGAATTTGTGGGGCAAATACTCCAGAAACCTGGTTTTGTCATGGAAAGTGGGAGAAGATAAGAAGGAACGGACCATGTGCTGGCACTTCGCTTACCTCTGGCTGAGCCAACTGAGATGAGCTGTTCCCTGGGGCCAGGAGCAGGCATCAAGGATGGAGCTGGTACCTTCCACTGCAGTTCACTGGAGGGACAGCGCAAATATGACTTTTGCCTTGAGAGAGGGGATTTCCAGCACAGCGCTGGCTCTGTGACTGTCAGGCAGGTCTTGACTGATCCTTCCCCTAGGAATGCTTTTGGTACATTTTACATGATCGCTGGCAGGTCACCACTCGCAGAAGGAAGAGGTGTAGGTGCCAGTTATTTTCAGGAAGGAAGGTATGGCTGAGAGCACGATCTTTCTGGAGCTCAGCCCATCCAGGCTAAG